ATTTACATATGATTCTGCCCCATCTTCCATCCTAAATATGAGCTCGTACCATCCCAGGCAGGCCGGTATCGCCCCCCACGTCATATTTTTTGCAAAATGTATTATGCGCGCAAACTCGTTTATCACACATCATCAGTTTTCAAACTTCCTTGCAACAGATGGAACGAAATGCACACGCGCGCGTCGTCGCGCGCGCATGCCGAAATCTTTGAAAAAAAACCGTCGGTTAAGAAGGGTTTCAAAATCGAGTGTCCGAGAAACATGTAACAACACACGGTTGCGCAACACGCATGTTCAAGAAAAACGTGTGCGCGCGGTCTTGCGAATTCTTAAGATAACCATCAGTGTTTCAACATTTTCACAACATGCTACCAAACGGGCTTCGCGCGCGCGCGCATGTCGAAATCGTTCGAACGCCCTCGCGCGCGTGCCGTCGCGGGAATCCTTTCTGCAGAAAACGGGACTAAGTGCGCACGCGCGCGTCGTCGCGCGCGCATGCCGGAATCCTTCAAAAACTTTTGGCTTCAATACGCGCTGGGAAGGCCCCAGCTGTCAGCCCCACCCTCGTGGCCGCGTCGGTCACGCCAGACTAGCTGGCCGCTCTGCGCGCCAGCCTGCGCAAGCTAGCGCGGCGGCGGCGATGCGCCAGCCAGCGCCAAATAGTCATCGCAATCGCCGCCGCACGGGTTCTAGTAACCAAGTTGCGGGTGGGTGGGTGGGGTGATTGGGCGTGCAGTGAGTTGACAATTCACTGCGAACAACTCTTAGTTTCACCGTGTCGACGGCACCACATAGACTGCACCGCGCAAATTTTTCCACAACAGTTGCATCATATCGATTCTCCGGAATGGAATTTGGATCTACCCCTTCGGTCTTACGGCTCTTTTTAGGATAATACGATTAACGTGTGCTACAGCTCCATGGTTCATTTTACATATGAATTGATACGGCAGGGTTCCTCCTCCCCCAAATCCATTGCAAATGCTATCACGCGCGCGCCATTTTATCACAACAAATAAACTTGCAGCCGTGCAGAGCACAGGATGGGAACAACACTTCATGCGCGCGTCGTCGCGCGCGCATGCCGGAACCCGTCAACACACCAAGGTTTCGCAAGTTTTTCTTCACCGGGGCTTCTTAATACATGAGCAACCACTGGTTTGGCAATGTGTTTTTCAAGAAGTCTGGGCGCGCGCTGTTGCGACTCTTGCGAAAAATATCGGCTTGCCAAAATTTTCAGCACATGCGACCAAGTGGGCGTCTCGCGCGCGCATGCCGAAATGATTCGAACACGTTGGCGCGCTTGCTGAGGGGGGGGCGCACGATCCCTGTCAAATGCGAAATCTTTCCAACCACTTTATCATCGACGCGTGGACACGATCATTGCCATCGGTGGGATCAGCATCGGCGCCGTCATTGGCCTCGCCAACGTCATCATCGTCATTGCCACCAGCATCGCCGCCATTTCATCGTGTTTTCCAGTGTCGACGTCGCCATGATACCGCGCCCGCCTGAGGCACCGACTCTCACTGAAGCGCCCCCGCGCGTCAGCGCGGCGTGCGGGGCGCGCTGGGGAATCCCAGGCGGTCAGCCCCCCCACCGCGGTTGCCTCGTTTGCGCCAGACTAGCTGGCCGCCCTTCGCGCCAGCCTGTGCGCGCTAGTGCGGCCGCAGCGATGCGCCAGCCAGCGCCAAGCAGTCATCGCAATCGCCGCTTCACGGGCTTTGCAAACGAAGGCGCGGGTGGGTGTGTGGGATGATGCTGCGGGCAGTGGGGTGGACAATTCACTTCGGACGACAGGTCACCGCACCAGATCGATTTCACGCCATATTTTGCGCACTTCGTATACAGCACATTGTAGATCGCACAACCAAGATTGAGGAACAAGGTGGCACCGCAAATATTACGTCACGTAGATCGCCCCGCGTAGATAACGTCATATGTATGTATGTATGTATGTATGTATGTATGTATGTATGTATGTATGTATGTATGTATGTATGTATGTATGTATGTATGTGTGTATATATATATAGATATATTCAGTAACAAACCTTTTTGGGGTCCGCGATGGCTAGTTTTATTTGTTCCCAAATAAGTACAACCAGTCGTCGCACTTGTCAACCGGTAGTCAGAGGTGGGCGCTACTCCTAGACGTGGCAAGCGTTCCATTAATTTGGTCGGGATAACCACGCGCGCACGTTTTATGACAGCGCCCTATGACATTTACGAACCGACTGCTTCCATGCAACCCCATAGAGTGGTCAGGAGCCGCGGGACATCACAATGCATGTACGGTTTCGAGTTCCAATGGTTAGCTACATGTTGCCACGGCCCCCATGATTACCAGCATTTGGAATAACCGTGTACGTGCTGGACATGTCGTCATCTTGTTGGGCTTTAGCTACTCGTGAACCATTGGGGTTGTATGGGGTTAGCTAATTGTCGTTGTTGGTTTTCGAAATCGCAAGTTTGTATGTCCCACATGCGAAGTGGGCTCTTTTATTTGGGGACATTCCCGCGCAGGAGAGAACACCTCTTCCTTTCACACTCATCATGGCCATCACGCCATCATCATTACTTACTTCATCTCATCATGCTTATCGGTCAGCGTTGTGTCCACACCATAGTTTCACAATTCCAAGCAACAAATCATCATGGTCGCACACGCTCACATTCTCACGCGCTCTTGCGCGCGCTCACAGCCGCATCATGAGGACGTGAACAGCATCATCATCCCCATTGTCATCGTCATCGGCATCGTGATCGTCATCGTCATCATTTCGCGCATTCACACACGCAATCACGCTCACACGCTCATCGTGAGGAAGTCTCCAACCAGACAGAGCCTTGTGTGTGAGTGAATCTTGAGGACGTTGCGAGCGGGAACATCTCCTGGATTGAGAGGGGTATCGGCACCCTGTTACCGTCGTCACTTTTGGGCTCCTCAGGGCCGAGTAATAGGGAAGTCTGAAGCGGGAGTCTCGTGTGTGAGTGAATCGCGGGGAAGTCTTGGGCGGTAGCCGTTCCTTATGGGGTCACCGCCTCATGTTTTTTTCCCGAGCGGACTATCGGAACCTTGTAGCTGTCGTCGTTTTTGGGTTTCTGAGGTTTGACTATTGAGAGAGTCCGGAGCGGGAGCCTCGTGTGTGAGTGGATCGAGGGGCAGTCTCGAGCGGGAACCCTTCCACATGGGATTCCCATTTCAGATTTTCACTTGAGCGGGGTATTGGAACCTTTTCGCTGTCGTCACTTTTTGGCTTCTGAGGCTTGAATGCTGAGGAAGTCTGGAGCGGGAGTCTCATGTGTGAGTGAATCGCAGGGAAGTCTGTAACAGGAACCCCTCCCTACGGGGCCTGCGCTTCATGCGTTTCACATTATTCATCGGAGGCGGCTCATTTGGACGTCTGAAGGGTTTGCTCCGCGCACCGGAGAAGGACGAGGAGGACGACGAAGTACGTGGCAAGAGTAGTTCAGGAGCAAAATCATGTGAGGTCCTACCGTCGGAAGAAGGTGCAGTTAAAAGAGTCTGAAGCGCCCACCGAAGGCAAGCTGTGCACGTTGCCCTAAAGCGGGGTTGATAGCCCCTCCACTATTATATGATGTATCGAACGGCGCACGTCTTGTCGCAACTGGAAAGGGCCGATTATAATCAGTTGCGATCGGTGCCAAGTAGTTGGGATCGGTCCGGTGCGGTTGCGATCGGGCGCCCCCCCCTCCCTGACGGGGGGCTCAAAGACAAAGTCGGCATGCCGGGGTCGACGTGGCCCGGGCAGCCTACCACCCCTCCCCAGGAGAGCGGTGGGCGCTTCGGCAAATGCCCCCCCCCGGCCGGAGAGCCGCGAGGGCAGCGCAGGGGTCCAACCCGAGGGCCCCTCCCGTCGCTTCCTCCCTCGGCCCTGCGCCCCCCTTGCCTCGTCCTTCGGGGGCGGAGAAGAGGAGGGTGATGACAAGGGGGGGTGGATATCATGGCGGGGGCCATGATATTTCCCCAGATTTTATGGCGCCTCTTCTTAGTTCATTACGTCCCTGGCCCCCCCGCTGGGCCGCGCACATGTCGCCGGTCATGATTTGTACCCCCCCCTCTTGGACACCCCCTTCTTGGCCGCTCCCGAGTCCTGGCACCGGTCTCTTCAGACCGCCTGCCCGCCCCTTGCGCCTCGTCTTGGCCCTGCCCTGTCCTGTCTCGGCGGCGAGCGAGGGGGGGAAGTGAGAAGGAGAAGGCCGCCCGAGAAGTCTTCTAAGCCTTCCCCGAAGGCACGGGAAGCTTCTCAGAAGGCACGAGGGCTCTGAGAAGTCCCGCCGCCTTCTGAGAAGGCCTTCTACTTCTCACTTCCCCCCCTCGCTCGCCGCCAACTGTCCTGCCTGCCCTGTCCGTCCGCTCTGGCGGTTTGGCCGGTGCTCCCCGCGGTCTTAGGCCGCTTGCCCAGAGCGTCTTGGGCTCGCCGCGCTCGCTGCTCCCGGAGAGGCGCTTGGCCGCCCGTGCGTCCGTCCCTCCATCTGCCTGTCTGTCGGTCTGCCTGCCTGTCTCTCTCCCTCTCTCTCCCTCTGCCTGCCTGCCTCTCCCTCTCCCTGTTCCTGTCTCTCGTGCTGTCTTTCCTCCTCTCCCTTCGCCCTTTGCCTCTCCTTATTCATTCCCTCTCCCTCTCCAGCTTCCACTCTCGCTCCCCCTCTTGCTTTGCCTCTTGCTCTCCCTCTCACTCTCCCTATCCTTTTTTTTTTTTTTTCTTTTTCTTTCTTTCTTTCTCTCTCTCTATATATACATATATATCTCCATCTTTCTGTAATTATACACATGTGCACTTATATATAGTTACATGTCTGTCTGTCTGTCTGTCTGTCTGTCTGTCTGTCTGTCTGTCTGTATGTATGTATGTATGTATGTATGTATGTATATATATATGTATTCATAGTCAGACATACATATACACATATGTAAATATCCTACAACATCTCTATATTATACACACCCACCGCCGGCTTGCCCTGGTGAGCGGAAGTCGGGCCGGCCCAGGCCGCCATGCGGACGTTCGGGGCCGAGCCGAGTGCGATACGCGTGGCGCCTCGCGGGGCAGAGAGGGAGGAGGAGGAGGAAGAGGAGGAGGAGGAGGAGGAGAAGGAGGAGGAAGAGGAGGATGAGGAGGAGGAGGAGGAGCAGGAGGATGAGGAGGAGCAGGAGGAGGTGGGGGAGGAGGAGGAGGAGGAGGAGGAGGAGGAGGAGGATGAGCATGGAGAAGTTCGAGCAGGTCCACGAGAAGGAGGATGAGCGAGATAGGAGGGGAAACACGATGGGGGTAGAAGGGGAGCAGGAGGAATATGAGGATGTGCAGGAGGAGGAAGAGGAGGAGGAAGAGGAGAAGGAGGAGGTTGAGGAGAAGGAGGAGGAGGAGAAGGACGAGGAGGAGGAGGTGGAGGAGGGAAACAAGAGAAGAGGGAATCGGAATACGAGGAGGAGGAGGAGGATGAGCAAGAGAAATAGCTTGAGTTTCCTGCCAAGCGACAAGTAGCGCCAGCAAGCTTGAGGCTGCGTGTCCGCTTTCAAGGGCAGCCGAGCCACGGTCGGGCAGCCAGACCTCCTGTTCATCACACAGCGTCTGCTAAGACGTGACATCTGGAAGCGCGGGGTCGATCAGTGAAAAAGCGAGCGGACACACACAGCAATATCCAGGAGCATCGCCACAGTTCTCACCCGTCATCTCCGTCGTCGTGGTCGTGGTGTTGGTTGTCGCGATCGTCGTCAGTACGACCATTGTCATCGGTGCGCGCGCGAGAAAAGAGAGATAGAGAGAGAGAGAGAGAGAAAGAGAGACAATGCGAGAGAGCGAGAGAGAGCGGGATGATGATGAGGAGGAGGAGGAGGAGGAGGACAAGGATGACCGCTTCAGGATGATGTGGAGGAGGAAGATGGAATATGACGATGAGGATTGCCGTTGAGCATTGAGGATGGTGGTGATAGCGATGATCATGACGACGATGATGACGATGGTGACGGCGATGATGATGATGATGATGATGATTATGATGATGATGATGATGATGATGATGATGATGATGCTGATCATTCTGATGATTCTGATGATGATGGTGGCAGTCATTATGCTGATGGAGATGATGGTGGTGATGCTGATGCTGATGCTGATGCTAATCATCATGATGAGTATGATGATGATAGCGATTATGGTGATAATCATGATGGCGACGATGAGGTTGACGACGATGATGATTATGACGATGATGATGCCAGTGATGATGATGCTGATTAGGTTGGTGATTATGATGATGGCAATGACGATGGCGATGACGACTATGATGATGATGGTGCTGGTGATATTGGTTGTGGTTGAGATGATGGTGGTGGGAAGATGGGGATGATAATAATGATGATGATGAGGGTGGTGGTGAAGATGACAATCGGTGTTGTGGTGATGGTGGTGATGCTAATGGTGAGTCTGGTGAACACGACGCGCTGTTGATGATTCTGATGATGCTGATGACGATGCTGACGATGCCGACGATGCTGATGATGATGATGATGATGATGATGATGATGATGATGATGATGCTGATGCTGATGCTGATGGTGATGATGATGATGATGATGATGATGATGATGGTGATGATGATGAGGATGATGATGCTGATGATGATGATGATGATGACCATGATGATGATGATGATGATGATGATGATGATGATGATGATGATGATGATGATGATGATGATGATGATGATGATGATGATGATGTTGATGATGATCCGTAGCCATTTTGGCTCAAGTTCGAAACGTTGCCCTGGCGCTTCGAACTTGGACGCAGCCAAGGGGTTGGCCCGAGCGTCCCGAGGGTAGTCCTCACACTTTCTTTCTGGTTCCAGGGATCATTCCACGAATTACTCCTGTTTCGTCCTCGGCCGTGATGTCGAGCTCAGAGGTCCTGGCTGCACTTGGTTCGTTGAAGAGTGAGTTGCTCACAGCGATAGGAGCGGCTAACGACAGGACCGACGCCTTGGAGATTCAGATCCAGGGACTTCAAGCGCAGCAAGTATCGACGGTGCAGGAGATGCAAACGATGGTGACCTCCATGTCAGCCAGCTGGGAGGCACGCTTCCAGCAGATCACGGGCTCAGCGATTGTGGTTGACGACGGCAATGGCTGGCATGACTGCCCTGAGGGTTCGGCAGGTCGCCAGGCGCTTGATGAAGTTGAGAAGAAGATGGAAGCCAAGTTTGAGAACATCCAAGAGCAGTTATCCATAATTTCGGCGATTTCACGTACACCATCGACGGCTGCGAGTTCGGACAGTGGGGGCACTTCCAGGCGTAAGCGCCCTGCGACAGGACCCATGCCTGAGATGTTCACTGACGCGCTTCAAAACAATGAAAAAGACATGCACAACCCCTGTAGGATTTGGATTGGAGGATGGCCACGTGAGGTGCTTTCACAATATCGGAAGGAGCACTGGGAGTGGTATAAAGACTCAGGTGCCCCAGGACATGATCACTAATACACAGCCATCGTTCCAGCGTACGAGCCGTTCTTACTCGGTGGTCTTTGAGACGGAGGAGGCTGCGAATCGGTTCAAGCAGTGGGCTTTCACGTCTCCGTCGCAATGGAATGGCTATCGTGATAGAGCGAAGACGTTCCCCATTCGAGTTCGAGGTGACATCCCTCTCCCTGCTCGGCTGAGGAAGAGTGCACTCTCGTGCCTATGGGAGCCGATGAGGGTGAAGCTGACGAACAAGGGCCTCTGGAACGGCTCGCTGGGGATGGGCTGTTCTGGCTTTGGCTCTGGTCGTTTTCAGATTTCGACGGATGCGGACTCGTGGACCCTGTTCACTTTGAAGACAGAGGAGGACCAGTTCGTCATCGTTCCCAATCGTGATGAGTTGTATCAGTGGAAGTTCACCGATGCAGAGATTGATTTCATCATCGGCATTGCCGTTAAGAACAAACCGTACCTGTAGGATGGGGTATGGCGGACACCAACGACCAGGACAGACCAGGTTCCGCCTCCGCTGAACATAGGGAGCGACATCAATGGGGATGCACGCGATTCAGCTGAGTGTTATGAGCCTGTCATGCCTGTTGCTTTTTCGAATCTTGTGTCTGCAGCCTCTGTTTGTACAATGCAGCCAGCGCCGTGCGAGTTGTCGGCCCATGATTTTAACTTTCCGTTCTGCCCTCCCTCCCCTTTCTCCATCTGTTCTTGGAGCGCTGGTGGTATGATCATGTCTATGCAGTCGTTGCGTCAGGATCGTGCTCAGAAGAAGATGTCCATGTTCGAACGTCTTTGTCACTCCCACGATATTGTTGTTACCCAAGAGACCCATGGTCACCCAGGTGATATTGATCATCTCTCTCTTCAACTTCCCTCTCACCAGTTTGGCTACTCCTTCTTCCCTGACAGTGCAGGCACTGGTGGCGTGATTACGGCTATCAGTAAAGTGTTCGCGCGTAACTTTTCCTCGATTGCCCATCGGTCACTGATCGACGGCAGAGTGCTTCTGACTGAGATGAAGGGCCCTCACGGCCAGTGTAACATTGTTAACCTTCACATGGCCAACACGCCTGATAGTATTCGGGTATATATATATATATATATATATATATATATATCTGTGCTCCGCGTTCTCCGCCGTGAGGTTCCGCTTTCAGCTGAGCACTTTACTATTCTACTGGGGGGCTGGAATTTTACTCTGGGAGGTGAGGGCCGTCAAAATGCTTATGGTGGTTTGTGGAGCCCAGGGGGCCGCAGTCATGCGCAGGCGTTCAACGACAACCCCCGACCTCATGGAATGTTACCAGGAAATGGACACTCGGAGGGCTCTGGTTGATAGCGTGATCGACCACACAGCGCGGCTGAACCGCATCTACTGCTCGCTGCCCAGTGCCACTCTTGCAGATATGACGATCACGACGTCAACGGTAGGCCGTCTCAAAATCGACATGCCCTCGGATCACATCCCCGTCGTTTCGCATATCTCGATGTACACCCCTGACAAGTCTGAGTGCAAGAATATCCCGCTGTGGCTTGCGAAGTCGCCTGAGTTTGCTGATGAGCTGGGTGGGCTCTTGAGTTCTCCTCCCGCTGATGATGGGAGCGCTGTGCGTCTTGCTTGGACCAAAGAATGTATGCACTCGGCCGCAGCACGTGCTCGTCGACGAATAAAGCATCGAGTTGCCTGCACCTATGAGGAGTGTCACCATTGGTCCATGGCTGCTCTTCGTGGCCTCCGTCTTCAGAATATTAAGATGATTGATAATGCATTGGTTTGTTATCCCAAGCTTACTGATTTTATTGATGACGCTACTCTTGAATGTGCTGACCTGTTCCCACTCTGCCAACATGTGCGTGGGCTGTGCATGAAGATGCTAGACGCTGAAACCTTAGAGATTGAGAACCTGCCCGCGGATGACTGCCAGAGGCAGAAGGAGGAGAGGAAGATCGCTCGTCGTCGCACGTTCTGGCAGCAGTTTCGTCGTCGAACTTGGCTCCAAGGAGTGGTTGACGAAAATAACAACCCTTACCCCTCCCCAGAGGCTTCTGCTGAGGCCCTGCGGCTTCACTGGGGTGAAGTCTTCTGCGAACAGCAGGAAGACCGCTCACGGTGGCCTGAGTTATTGTCTTTTGTCCGGCAGGTGCCTGTAGGAGCGAATGTGTCTTGGGAAGTGGACTATGAGGTGTTCTTCGGGGACATTATTAAGACTCGTAAGCACAGTATGCCTGGGCCTGATGGGATTCCTTATTTCTGCTGGCGCCTTGGAGATGCCCCTCGTTTTCTGTTTGACTTCTATCGGGACTTGGTTTCTGGTCAGGTCTCTGCTCTGCCTCGGGATATGTTGGAAGTTCTGATGTTTTTTTTTTTCTGCCGAAGGGGGACTCGAGAGACGATGTGGGGCCGCGTGTTTTCAGGACTGCGGAAAACACCCGTCCACTTTCCATGGCCAATGCTGATGCCAAGATTTTGAGTTCATGCATGTGCAGACCGCTGAATGAAGTTGCTCAGCAGACTATCTCCCTTTCGCAGGCATGTGTCTATGGTCGCAGCATGGCTGCGCATATTGTCCGTGCTGAAGCCTGGGCACTTTCTGAACATGTGCTCGACCATGATGATAGCTCGATGGTGCTGACGGACTACTCTGCCGCCTTCCCCTCTCTCTCGATTGAATGGTTCTTGGCCGTTTTAGAGGCGATGGGGATCCCGAGCTTTATCGTCCAGTTTTATCGGTTGTTCTACACTGACAACACTGCTCTGATCTCGGTCCTGGGCAAAGTGTACGCGTCGATTGATATATCTAGAGGTGTGCGTCAAGGGGATCCCGCATCTATGGTTCTCTTCTGCTTGGGCACGGCTCCGCTTCAGGTGCATATAAGTAAATGCTGCTGGCAGTGTATGCACCTCAAGCTTGAATATGCTGATGACTGTTTGTATGGCATTCGTGACACCCTTCGACACCTGCGGCACCTATTCCGTGTTATCATGGCATTGGAGTCGGCAGTGGGGCTGGCTTTGAACCTACGCAAGTGTCTTGTGCTGGTCCAGTCGACTGTGTTCCAGGCTAGGCTGCAGCAGTATATCCTAGAGCAGTGCCCTGAGCTGTCTCAGATTCAGGTTGTGCGCTCGTGTA